GTATTTACAGANAAATTAGTAAAAACATTTATAATAACTAATTCAAATGTAAACAATAAAGCATATTTAAATTTAAATTGGATTGTTGTCATGGTAAATAAACGTTAAAAGTTAAAACATGTGGCGTCAATTAAATCTATCAAAACTTGTTTAATTTAGAATTGGGTTTTTTTATATTATAAACACCAATATTGTAAATGTAAAGTGTAATGTTGCTAATGTTAATTAAAATTTATATACAATTGATAATGAAGATTTTATTTAGTATAAATTTGTTTATTTTTAATGTGTTATTATTTTATTAATATGTTTATTCCTAAATAATTCTGCATTCCATTGGTTAGACCGAAATCATATTAGTTATATTTCTTTTCCAACATTGCGATAAATTTAATATTGTTTCGTTTTCATGTTTATCGTGATAAAAAATTATATCCAATTCTGGTTTTTAAACATTAATAATTTTTTCATACATTAAATATTTCATTCTTGCATAACTTCTTAAAATATGTATTTTTTTCATTTATTTCAATGAACGAATTAATGGATTAAAAAGAAAGGAATAAATTAATAAATGAATTATTTTTAAAAATTACTATACTTTCGATAATATTCCACTAAACTTATTTAATTTTGTTGTATGTTTATGAAAATGATTGATAAATTTCAATGATTCGTTAGCAGCACAAATCAGCTGTTACTTTGGAAATAGAAAATTACTTAACTGTTATTCAAATTTATTATATCATTTGTTTCATTTTTTTTTATTAGTTTTTAAATGATCATTAAAATACTTTGGAAATAGAAAATTACTTAACTGTTATTCAAATTTATTATATCATTTGTTTCATTTTTTTTATTAGTTTTTAAATAATCATTAAAATATTTAATAAATGATTATTAAAAGTTCAGCTTTTCGATATTTAATTTTCTGGTTAAACAAAAATACACCTCAATATTTCGTCACAAAAAATTGTTTGTTTGATAAATAGCGTTTCATAATTTTTTGTGATTCCAATCCTCTGCTGTCAAAATCTCTAATCTTTACAATCGCCTCCATACATAAACCGTCAAATAGATAATTGACTTGCATCTAGCATCATTTAAAAAAATTGACTTTTTTTTCAATTGTTGACCCTCTCGATTTTAAACTCGTAAATTAAGGTGTCTTGAAATTTTTGAATCGTTTCTATAATCAATTTTTCCTGGATTAGTGGATTTATGGAATTTTCCTTAAATCATTTTCTGTTATCAGTTAATTTTTATGGTGTTTGACCTCATTGAATTATTTTCTATAATCAAATGATTTCTCATTAAGTCATTTTCTGTATTCAACTGATTTTTATGGAATTATTTTTTGTAATCAATAGATTTTTCATGGGTTTTTTTTATCTGAGATCTATTATATTTGCAATTTTCAACGGGACAAAGATTATAGGAATTTGTCAGAATAAAAAGTACATGGTTTTAATAGACCCAGATAACCAGATTCGAATTTTGCTTGAACACTTTTAACACGAATAGAATCCAAGACCAAGTATTTTCTTGCAAGTCTATTTTAATAAAAGATAAAAGATTGAAGCATCAAATATAAATAACTTTATTTAAAAAATTATAAAAACAAGATCTAAAAAATATTAAAATAAAAGATGGGATTGGCAATGTTTCAGCTTACAAATGTAAATGTTATAAAAAATTCAGTATTAAGTTTGCGTTCAAACCAATGCAAGGACAAAAATGTTCAGTTTGCTGTGATAAAGTATCAAATTCTCTAAGTTGGTAAAGGTGGATATTAAAATTTTATCAAGAGAATTTTATGGTCAAAAATGTAACTAAGACTACCAAGCATAGACGGCAAGTTGTTCAAATTATTGAGGGTTTCAGAAGTTACTCAAATTTAAATTTTGATTATTTTTGGAATTTATTATTTATTTATCTTTTTAATTTTTAAAAGTCAAGTTTAAATAATATAATGTAAATAGTAAAATTCTATTTTTAAATATCCCAAACATTTAAAAATCTAGTTTAAATACAGTCATGTTGCGAACGATTTTCTGCGCAAATTATTCCGAGATGTAAATTCTTTGTATATGTCCTGAATTGAAAGATTGTGGGCGCGTTATTTATAGCAATGTAGTATGGTTTAATCTTAGCTGATTGATTGTTAAACGTAAATAAGTTTTTAAGCGCCGAAGAACGGAAAACGATCTTTCTGAGCTGCATGTCGTCACAGGAATTGTAAGAAATATTCTAAGTCGAGAAATTTCTAGCATTTCATTCAAACCGTGTCAGTTTGTATCTCTTAAAACGTAGACAATGTCTGTGACTGATATAATAAATTTCCTTGCTTTGAATCTAGAATTGAATCTTTTCACTTGACGCTAGAATTGAAGAGATAGCGGTATTTTTTTTAATAATTGCAAAGTGTCAAATAAATGAAAGTTTTCGTTATCATCAGTAAAACGCTTCAGACGATTTCGCTGCCGTGACAAACTTGGATCTTCAGTATTTAATATTTTTGCTTCATTAGTGATATTTAACCAAAAAGGCGAAAAGGTTTCATCGGAAGGTTCTGTTGAAGCGATAGCATTAGACTTCCTACGAGTATGCGTACTTTTGACATAGGCAGCGTTGGACACTGCAAAGCTTTCGACGTTTTCAATTTATCATATATGATAAACACAACATAATTATGAAATGATATCATTTTTGTGAGAAAACCGCCATTATCATTTCTGACAGAACTTTGATTTTCAAAAAAGTTTAGCAGTTTAAAAGCCCAGTTGTTTAACATAATGTTGGACATAATAGGCGCAATGATGTAATTATAGCATTACCTTGTTAAAAAAAGGAAAAACAAGCTAAACGTATTTTTATACTATTCTTTGATAAACGTTACAAGTTCTTTTACAAAATAGATTTCACCTTTGCACTCTAACATCATAGAAATTGATAATATTGTGGCTGTTGCAATAGACAAATATTGCAAACGGCGAAATTTCTAAGACTGACCTGTACTTCATTATGAATTCCAGAAACGTTATATGCTCCGTCATAACATTGTCCTCGACAATCTCTGATATCAAAATTGAACCTTAGTAAAACATCCTTCAAAATTTTGAACAATGTACCAGCATCTGTGGCGTCCGTGTTATAAAATCCTAGAAAATATTCTTCTGAAATAAATTCATTATTAACAACTTTTAAAAAAGTTTCGTCTAAAAGTATGGCTTAATACTTTCTCAAATGAATATCACAAACGAATATCACTTATAACGGATCTGAAAACGCTGTGCGACTAATTTTCCAACAATTCATTTGAATATCTTTTGTATATTGATATGATGTTTGTTCAAGCCATTGCTGTAATTCAGAACTATCCTGCACGCAGACGTAAAAGACAGTGAAAATTCGAATCATCATCGTCATGAGAGCGTATAGCGTTATTTTGAACAGATGAAGACATTTTTTTTAAAATATTTATTTTCAAATATTGAGGGGGCTCAAGATAGGCTTGAGTCCGAAGGGTTAAATTTTGGGGGGCTCAAGCCCGAAAGCCCATACAAGTCGCCGCCAGTGAACACAACTGCTTCAAACGCAAACTTTGTGGAACGTTTATTTGAATATCAACAGTAATAGAAACAATAAACTAATCCGAATGACATTCTAAACTAATCACATTTACGACTGCTTTCTCTTCGCTTGTAACCTCAACTAAAAACCCCGGCCGTAGGTCGTACTAATAGCCCATTTTCAATCATAGATACAATATTTCTTTACACTCTATGGTTTACAACCCAAAGATAACAATTGAATGATAAATTATATAGTGCATTTCTTTAATTAAGGTTTATCTTCTGCAAGCAGACGTAAAAGGCTGAAAATTCAAATCATCATCGTCATGAGATAGCGACATTTTAAACAGACAAAAACATTTTTTTAAATATTCATTTTCAAATATTAAGAATCGAAATTTTATGTCTTCGTCCCACAAAACTGATGAAAAGATCATGAAGATGTCTTCGTCCCATAAAACTGATAAAAAAATCATAAAGATAATCCATAATAATATTAAACAAACCTGAACGATAAAGTAAAATTAAGGCTCTTTTACAAAACCTACAAAACATATAACCTTTTAATTTTGAATAATTGCCTACTTTGCTGCCTTTTGAAATGTAATCATCTCATAATTACGCGTCTTCAAACTTCTTATTAGAGATAACTACTAACAACACAACCGCGTAGACAAAAGAGACAGTGCAATTAAAAATTATCTAGAAACTTTCTACAACACCCCAATAATGCCAAACATTATTGCCAAATATAGGCAAAATTATTACCAAATTTTGTTGAAACGTCTGGATGTGTCATACGGCATTGGTAGAGATGCTATCCACTTCGATGGTTTCAGTTATACTCAGTAGAGATATTATCCTCTTCGATGGTTTCAGTTATACTTAAGATGTTAAATTATCGGTAGAGATGCTATCCACTTCGATGGTTTCAGTTATACTCAGTAGAGATATTATCCTCTTCGATGGTTTCAGTTATACTTAAGATGTTAAATTATCAGCGTTTGTAAAGATAACCCGTGCACCGCAACCTCAGAATTAACTTCAAAGGTTTTCGTTCTCTTAAAAATCATGTTGAAATAGATGCTATTCAACTCTAAGCATCGTCTGAAGCTGTGTCGAAAACAGTAAAGCTAGTCTCATCAAACAGTAAAACATGGATTGTTATAAAAATAAAGTCCTCTGCCATTGGCTTTTTTATTAACTGCACAATCAGACAATAAAAGTACTTATTCGTAGTTTCATTTGAAGAATCGACAACTGCAATGCGTAAACCCATCTCTTTGTAAAAACATGCAGCTGCTAGACTGGTTGCCGAATATTCGAAATTTGACTCCATTTCAGCATATACCAGAAACATTGTTGTCTTCGCATTGTTTTCCAGCTATTTCTTTAGATCAGGAATTGTCTATATGACGTTGCTCCAGGTTATTTGAAGAAGCTGCTTTAAATTGTTATATGTTATAACCGTATATTCGCAAGGAACCCATACATTTCAAAAAGAAATGTGAGCGTTCTAAAGTATCCAGTACATTCGAAAAGCGGGAAGACGGGAATATAAAAACGTGCAGGATATCAGATAGCCGAATAGCGATTGTTAGTGTCAAAAAAGATAATTAATATTTGATAATTGACTGCGTTAAAGCGATATACGTTAGAGAATCGTGATTCGGAACGATAGTTTCTGAACATTATTTCTTATCTAACATTGATTAACTGATTATTAATTTTAAATAAATAAAACAATAATTTGAAAGTTATACTGCTTAAAGTTATAATGGAAGTTATTTCCAAATGGAACGATAGTTTCTGAACATTATTTCTTATCTAACATTGATTAACTGATTATTAATTTTAAATAAATAAAACAATAATTTGAAAGTTATACTGCTTAAAGTTATAATGGAAGTTATTTCCAAATGGAAGTTATTTCCATTGGGATTAAAAGAACACGTCGTTATAAGTTATAAGAATATGATAGAAAATATAAAGACATTTACTGATTCTTATATTTTTACTTCTTTTCCTCCGTCTTATCTCAATAGTGTTCTTTATAATTTATCTCTATGTCTGTCTTCAATTATCGCTTGTTTGACTCTATGTGTCAAACTTAATCCTTCTAAATTTGAATTAACTTGTTTTAATAAATCTAAACACTATTGCTATTCCTCCTATTATCTTATGATTCTAAAACTCTTGATGTTTCTCACAAGTTTCGTAGTCTAAGCTTTATCTAGTATGTCTCTTTCTTTTCAGATTCAGTTCTTATTTTCATCTACGTAGAATAAAGAAACTTTTGCCTTTTTTTGATAATCATACTTTTCTCCTTCTTGTTACTTCGTTAGTCTTATCTAAAATTGATTATTGACGAGAGAAGTTTAATTATTGACGATTGTGATACACCCAAGTAATTTATCTTTGATTCTAGCATGTCTCATTCTTTTTAGATTAATAGTGTTGCTAAAATTTATCTACTTAGAATAAAAAACTTGCCTTTTCTTATCAAGAATTGATTATTGTAACTCGCTCTACTATGGTCTTTCTGGTTCTATACGATTCTATACTCTATCTTTTAAGTAAAACTTTTAAATCTGCTGCTCGTCTAATTGCTCGTGCCCCTTTCTTTACCGATATATCTCCATATCTTGTTACCTTGCACTGATATCACTGAATACCTATAAAATACAGAATAATTTTCTTAATAATCTCAGTCTAAATTATTTTCTAAGTACTTATCAAATATATTAATTGAACCTAAACACTCGGTTTACGATCTCGTTTTTTCTTAACTCGTGTTAAACACTCTTTTGCTAAATCTGCATTTGCTTTTTCTGGCCCTTTTCTCTGGAACTCTCTATCTACTTCTCTGACTACGCTTACGAAGTTCAGAGCGGATCTCAAAACCCATCCGTTTTCAAAATTCATTGAGGAACATCGCGGAAATAGCGCTTTACAAGCTAATTGATTGATTGAGAGCTTCAAATTGAAATGTGGTTTTCCTTTGCCTTCTTTAATGGTTTGAACTTCCTTATCAAGAAGATCTGATGATAAGATTTATGTAAATTTCGTCCATTGTTTGATGGTGACCGCAAAGCGAAAAAAGGCTCCGCCGCATGTTTGAAAGCTATATAAGCCAAATCCGTTGATAAAAATAAACTAACGGTAACTAAAAAAACTAAAAAAAGTATTTTTAATTCTCTATTCAAAAAATGATTGCAGAAATAATCTTGTTGCTTCAATGGTCTAATAATTAGCAAATTACTTGGAAATAGACAACTTAAAATAAAGACTTACGGCGTTTGCGCTAGGTATTTTAAACTTGAGTGCACAATAAATTATAATAAAACTTGGTTGAGTTCCTGAAACTTTTTTAAGGCCACATTCTAATGGTTCTGTGATAAAACAGTACAAAATAAAACAGAACAAGATAAAACAAATCAGGATTTAACAAAACAGTGATAGAAAACAGCTTTTTCGCTTACAATTACAAATAAATAAATAAAAATGCTGATGAAAAAATTTGTTTGTTAGAACCAGTTGATTCCGTTGCAAAAAGTAGTCGATGCATTATATTTTTAGTGTGCAACAATTGTATAACAATTTTGTGATTCAGGACCGGTAAATTTTCCATGCCATGAATGCCAAAACCGTGAACTCAAAGCATGATGTGATGTGAAAGTTCTTTACGAAGAAAGCCCTGACAGTTATTTACACATCAGTACATCCCTAAACTCTGCAACATACGTGTACCTTACTATCTTGACAGAAAAACTGCACCTAAAAAAAGAAAGAACAGCATCTTCTACAAATCTTGTGACCACGTGGTTTAAGATAATGAATATCAAAGACCAGTATTGTAAAACTTCGCGACGTTGCCAGAACACCATGGCAGCTTTAGTGTGACAGGTTTCAGATGTACGACAATAAAAGCTCATAAATTTTACAGATGATGCTTTCGTAGTGACGACAAAATTCAACATCGTTGCTGCTGAGGTACTTTTTTTCTGATCGTCAATTGCAGTATGTGTTGCCTTAAGCATCTGGCCAAAATTTTGCAGAAAAGTTTTTTGGTAACGCCAGGCAACGGCGCGGTAAAAATTTCTATATCGATATTACAGACCTTTGTAGCAACTTACATTTTGATGTTAGTACTCAGTGGTCATGAGAGAACTTCCTCGTTTACACAATGAGCAACCTGATGTGGACAATTGCCTAAGGAAACGCCAAAAAGTCATTGCCATGCGCCTTTGAAGCTATGCATAGAATGCGATATAAATTAACAATAAACAATAATAATAACAAGTGATGTGACCAAGTTTTGTGATAAAGCCAAGTTTGAAATACCGAGCATTTGCGCCGTCAGTCCTTAATTTAATTATAAATTTTTCTTTAATATTCATTTGGAGTATCTGGTGAGTATTTGTATGTTTTTATCATTTGACTAAGACAGCTTTATTGCAATAGTCTATATTAATACATGTAAGGTGTAAATATGGCTAAACTGCAGTCAGTTCAAAATTGGGCTGCAAGGTTGGTTTCAGGTAACCTTAAATATGACCACGTATGACCAATTTTTTTGGCACTTCCGGTTTATCAGAGTTATTTGAAGATATGTTTAACAATGTCGCTCTTAAATATTTAACTTACAGAACAATGCCACTGCTGAATCTAACATTGCGCTCTAACAATCCAGGTTTACTGTTTGTAGCCGTAGAAATTTTTCCGTAATGAATTCTGCGCTGTCATGAGTGGTTTGCCTAGGGATCTTTGTGATCCTGCGCTGTCCGTTATTTAATTTCGCTGAAGGGTGATCCACCATCATTTTGTCCAAGCATACTCGAGCCAATGTTTTTCCATTCATTGCACTGCTTTAATAAAGAGCCACGCAATGTACTTCTATAATCGTTAGCACCTCCGAGATCTTTTTAAAGGGTGCTTACAAACACATTAATAAATAATAACAACGCGCGTGCAGAATTACACTATTCTTTCAGCTTATTACGCCCTAAAAATATTGTTACAGACGTGAAAACAAGATAAAAATTAGTAATTAGAAAGTAAAATGAAGCGCTTGATAATTTAATAGACGGAGCCAATTAAAACGGTTTTAAAAGTCATGTGATGCGTAAACGATTGAAAGTCACGTGACGCGGCATCACCCACTATATAAGTCGGAACACGAACACGGAAAAAAGAAGGAAAGGAAGAAAGAACGAAAAATAACACGATAAGGAGAACACGAGGAGAATAATACGAGGAATACAATTGACGTAAATGTGATTTTATGTAGTTATTAGGATTAAGTTAATGTTTCTATTACTGCCGACGTAGTTGCGTTTAAAGTTGTGTTCATCTATCAAAGATCTTGAACCTACGGAAAAACGAACTCTTGACTATCGTTGGAAGCTACAACACGGTGTTGGAGATATAACGAGTACCGAAGCTATAACATCGGTGTTGGTAGTTACGAAGTCGAAGAGGTTACGACACAGGTGTTAGAATCTTCAGGAAATTACACTCTGGTGATGGAGGTAAGATGCAGTAAAGAATACTAGGACTAGAGAACTCAATGTAATTAGTCGGACAAGAGAAATTTAACTACTGACGAATAGTTTTATTCCGTGATTTATCTGTCGATTAGTTATTGTGCTATATTCTAACGATTTAACGATCGAACGAACGAAATCGATTACGGCAATACACACCAGCCAGCACTGTTGTCTTTTTGATAAAGTCATTTGGAAGCAATTCTGCTTAGGAATCAAGAATCCACGTAAAGTGAAATAACCATACCCTACAAGTTAAAGGGGCCGGTTATAACAATATTGTAATGATAAGTCAAATTCTAAACACGGTTTAACATTCATGTGTAGCAACCAAGTTTAATAAATATTAAGAATACTATTATACAAAGCTATTATTGCATTGTACTACTTTACTGGTGACTGTTTTCATGCAAATATATATTAGGTACATTACTGAAAAGCCAGGTAGTCTAGGTGCATCACTGACTTTTAACAACACATTTAACAAGCTTCAACTGAAATTATTAAACTAAACCTTTCGATTTACACAATTTGATAAATAACAAAATCAACGACAAAAACTGAACAAAAACAAGAACAACCTTAACTACCAATAATGTAAATAATTAAAAAAGTTGGAAATATTAATTTAATTTAAAAAAATGAAAGCTTGTTAATATGAACGATAAAAACAGGTACAGATGTAATTCCTATTTAATAATCTATTGATTGTTGACTGTAAGAGCTGTACAGTCAATTTTAACATCATCTGAATTGGGTGTTCCATTTGAAAATAAACAGGCATTCTTGCTCAAAACATCTAAAACAACATGTTCACTCTCTGTTATCTCTGGCACTATTTGTTTGCAATTTTGAATCAAATGTTGAGGTTGTTCTCTACGTTGTTGAAGTTGTAAAAGTGCATTTTGAGATTTACTGAATTTAAAAGATGAATTAATAACAGACATCTTTGCATTAGCAGGATCAATTCTGTTTGTTGATAACGGCATTAATTTCAAATCATTGGTTGTAGTTGTCATTGCCTTGATGCACATTTCTTGGATGAATTGATGACGTGTGATATACGATGGATTAGATTCAATGGAATTCAATGGAGACATCCTTGAACTTGAACTAAAAAAGTTTAATAAAAGTACTTTCCAATATTTTAAAAATTAAACATGTTGAAATAATTGATATTAGAATTAACGCAATTATTTGAACAAAAGCTTCATTAGAAAAAGATAAGAGAACCACGTAAAAATTTAGATAGGAACAAAATTTAAACTCCAAACGATTTTCATTTTTCCATTTGCAATAATTCAAATTCTAATATAATTTAAATATTTGTGAAAAAATAAAATGTTGGTGTGAATGATTGACAATGAGAATAAAAAATGTTGGTGTGAATGATAGAGCATCAGAATGGATGATGCTCAATCATTCCACAATCAAAAGCAATGTTTGATATTTGACTGTATTAAAGCGCTGTATTATTGCGATATACGTTAATGAATTTTTATACGGAAATCGATAGTTTCTGGACGTTAATTTGATGTTAATTAACTGAATATTGATTGATTATCATTTATTTGTAAACCGTTAGTTTTAAAGTTATTTCGTGTCACTACTTTCCCATCTACCGGTTAGTTAATAACATTGGGATCTTTAGTGTAAATTTTGTGGGCACCGTTGTTGAAACATTTAAAATTTTTGCCTTCAAGTTAATTTGTAAAAATTACATGACTAAACTATATAAACTTGAATTGGTTCAATTAAAAAAAAAACAGAGAAGTTTTGATAGCAGGCTTAACGGGAAATAACAATCCAAATAAATTTGAGTTTGACGAATCAAGTACAACTGAAAAAGCTGAGACAAACACCGAATTAATGGCACTACTTCTAACGATATCAGTCAAAATAAAACAGATCAAATTGATGCAGAAAATTAAACAGTCAATAGAAATAAAATAAACGAGGGATCAAATTGATGCCAAAATTGAACAGTCGGTCGCGATTGATGCAAAAACAATAGAACTGTTGAGAGAACTCGGAGAACAATTCGACGTCAAAACTGAACAGAAATCGAACTTAATCAACGTAAAAATTGAAAACCAGATAATAAGATTGGAAAGACATCACGTCAAAAATTTGATCAAAAGATTATCGGGTTTGAACAGAAGTTATCTTGCAAAGTGGATAAACTTAAACAAGAACTCGGAAAAACTAAACAAAAAATACTCCACACTTGAAAGCCACGTGATTACGAAAATATTGTAAGCGACAGCATTCGACGGAGAAACTTCTTAAAACATCTACAAAGCCCAGCAGCAAATGAATTATGGCTAGAATGATAGAGCGGAACAGCTCTTGTGGTTGCGTTACGAGGGTCAGCGGCAGAAGTTCTCCAAACGATTTTTAGTTAAGAACCATTTCAACTATGAGGTCCAGGTAAATGTATTGAAAAACACGTTACGGTGAAAAACATATGAAGCAAGATTACACTGCCGAATAAGGTTTAAGATAACACAATTGCAATCCAAAACTGACGAGTCTTGTGAGAGACGAAACTTACGTCTAGCCTATTCTAATTGAGGTGTCGCAACCAATAGGTATGAACAACATCACGTTGTATATATATACGAGTACATAAATGGCGGGTAATAAATCAATAAATATATATGTATATAAAAATATATATACATCGTGTTATGTATATATATATATATATATATATATATATCACAAATATCACATACATAAATTTATTAAAAAAAATCACCGCATTTTCAGCATTGTTGAATTTGTAACTAAGTTTCTCAATTTTTCAAAAATTATTTTATCAATATTATTCAATACATACATACAATACATATATATATATACACAATACATATATATATATACACAATACATTTGTTATCTATATTAATAATTATTATTTATGTATTATATTTAAATATACAAGTTCTTACCTTTTTAGAAGATAGCTGTTTTTTTTAAAAGGGGACATCGTCTCATCAAGTGCTCTTTGAAATTCAGATGATGATGTCGAGGAAGATGATGAAATTATGGCTCCAAAACTAGTTATGGCTCCAACACTAGTTACGACATTGCTAGAAGCGGTCAACACTTTCTGTGTCTTTGATGTTGGAGGAACATTATCTCTCATTGAATCAATGTTACGAAATCTTTCAAGCTGTTGTCTAGATAGGTATATATATATATATATATGTATATATATATATATATATATGTATATATATATATATGTTTATATACATATATATACATATATAAATATAAACAGACTGTCGTTATTATGGAATTAAGTATTTTTATATATTTATATGTCCGCAAATCTCACGGCAGATCAACAATTATCACACACATAAATTTATTAAAAAATATCACCGCATTTTCAGCATTGTTGAATTTGTAACTAAGTTTTTCTATTTTTCGAAAATTATTTATCAATATTATTCAATTTATTCAAATTAATAATGAAATTTATAATTATTTTAGTCTGAATTTTTCATTTACACATTTACATAAAAGCTAAAACTCAAATACAAAGTGTTATTTTTCAACCATAATAAAAGCAATTTGAAAATGGCAGAGGCTTTATTAATAGAAAATAATAAACATCCAGCAACACCAAAAGACTTTGCCGTGAAATCTCGAGAAATTGCTCAATGCCGACTAATGGAACTATGCATGACAGTCCCGCAATACAAAGGCAAAAGTTATCCATTGAACTGTTCATCATATCGGGATATACGTCTGTTAGAACACTCCCTGAAAATTGTCGAGAAAATCATTGAGAAAAGATTAACGTCGTGCATCACAATCGGAAATAATCAATTTGGTTTTTTAGCGGGGAAATCAACAATTGATCAATTTCACATCTTTCGGCAACTGCAAGAGAAGTACCTCGCAAAGCATCAACAACTATCACACATTTTTGTAGACCTTGAAAAAACATTTGATCGAGTTCCCGGTGAAGCAATCTACGTCGACAACTCATTCAAGAATATCTTGTTCGACTTGTGATGGAAATGTATACGAATACTAAGATTCTCGTCAGCACAACGGTTGAAAACACAGATGCATTTGACATCGGCGTTGGAGTTTACCAAGGCTCGATTCTCAGTTATAACTGTGATGAAAGAAATCACAAAACCGATACGCACTGGTGACATTTGGAATCTAATATATGCTGATGATATCGTTTTAACAGCCACGTTTGAGCAGAATGCAGCACAGATGTTTAAAGATTGGAACACCAGACTCGCCGATCATGAATTCAAAGTGAACATCAGCAAAACCAAAGCAATGAACACTGGGTAAACCCATCCAATCCACATCTACTGGACGATGGCCCTGTCCAGTTTGTAAAGCTGGTGTAGGTAACAATTCAATCAAGTGTCAGTGTCAATCAACTTTCTTATAAAAGCAAATAAATCCATACAATCTTTCATTTATAAATAATCCGAACCTCCAAAAATTAGCAATTAAAATCATTTGTTTATTGTAACTAAGCCCATCGTAAACTAATTAGACCGTGTACAAAGTATTTGTCACCCTTCGACAAAGTATTTGTCACCCTTTTAGAAAATTATAAGGCCGATACCGCCATGTCAATCTTTGGATTTTTTTTCGAAAAATCAAGAATCACAGGTCACACAAAAACGCAATCATTGTTTGGCATCCGGCTGCTGAATTCAATTTGATTAGTAACTAACTCACCATAAGAAATAATAAATAATCAAAATAAAAATAATAATCGGTGTATTTTGAAAATTATCTTTGATCTCGTTTATTGCTTCGTTTTTTAAACAATGGCTGACTGGGAACCATATAGAAACCAACTATCGATAGTCTAAGGTCTATCATAAATCAGTTGCCATTCATTGGTTTGCTTCATCGTTAGTTGGAAAGCGGCAACAGAAAATTAAAATTGATTTTTTGCTGAACAGACCAAAAGAGTTTGTAGTCAACAAGGTACGGATATTCACAAACATCATGATATCAAATATCCTGCAGACCTATGACACAACCTGTAATAGTTCATCCATGATGGTCCTCACGCTATTCTATGTGCACTTCAATTTCAACTCAGATATTTAATAATAAACTTTGATCATTTATAGACTTAGGTTAGGATAATCACTACAATAAGATCAATAACAAATCACCTTGTTGTGGCAAGTTGCATTTCTAAATGTTGAAGATGGCTAGCAAGGCCTGATGTAGCAGGTATAGCTGGTCGAGATTGATTGGAGGACAGCTGAGATAATATTTCTAAAAAATAAACATTTCTGATTATTAATAAAGTTAAAATTAACCAGGCAATTTAAAAATTTTTAAAACCAGTACCTAATTTGACAAATATTGAAGCCCGAAATTAACGGAGTCAACAATATTTATTTCTTTAAGTTAACCAATTGGAGGCTTAACGTTAATCAATTAATGTTTTTATTCGTTCTGTAAAATTAATTTATTATAAAAAAAATTTCTATTTAATAAATAATTATATCAACCAGTTATGGGATCAAATGAGTCCCTAGACGAGTCAACAAGTTGCATAATTGGAGGCGTGGTACGCACTCGATTGCCTCCATAACTGCTGATTCGAGAAGGATGAGTCAATCTGCGTATCTGCCGTGACCCTGAGCTACTCAGATCTTCTTCACACTGCAGCATTTTTAAATTTTAATCATTCGTACTAATCTAATACTTACAATTTTAAATACTTTAATTAAATTCCTAAAAGTTGTAATTTATTGAGCTTTAAAATAAAAACAATGACGAGTAAAAAAAATAAACGAACCAGCTCCAAAATTGGTCTCTGATGCGATGTAGATATGTGCTGACTTAAATCATCAGTAACATGATTTGCATCTCCTCCCGGCAACGAAGCACATATAGGACAGATCTATAAATAATTCTTTCTTTATATAATATATATATATATAATATATATATATATATATATGTATAATTCTTTATATATATATATGTATATACCTACACCATTATTTATATAGATGAGAAGAAAAAAATTGTGTCCCGAGTAAAGACAGATTAGTTCAAATTTCAAGTTAAGATCTCAAACTAAGATGTTTTTTAGGTAATTCACAAAACACATTTCAGTCGCTAAGGACGTAGTGTTTGCCGAATAAAAGAAAATTGAAAAATGAGTAAGAAGTATGGGTGAAAATCATCTATCAACTCGGGCTACTGATGAATCCCACAAGGGACAAAACACTTTTAGTCCTTGGTGGGAGATGGAGAACTTTATGTACTCGTACTGGCAGATCAACTATTTTCACCCATTCTTACTCATTTATCAATATATATATTCGTCAATATACAATGAAATTAAAACAATTATTAGTATGGGCATCAAGTTCACTGGACCAAATCTTAACATTTAAAAGATGTCTAATACTAGGAAAGGAACGTATTTGCATAAATTGTTAAAAAGTCTACAACAATGGTGATGCAACTGACACCTCAAATATTCGTCTGGTTATGCTTCAGCTCTACAAAAACTTCTCATCTTTAATAAAATCAAAACTATATAACTTTCTCGACAAAAACAATTTCATTAACAAAATATTCAAAAAGTTTTTTAGTGGAACCCACAAATTCCATCTTATCTTTTAAAAGATGCCAAACTATTGTTGTCGTACTGCACTGCACTACATCACTTCAATCCTAAAATATAAACAAGTTCCGCAATCATTTCTCTATTTAATATTGTTACAAACGTCAACGATCGTCATGACCGATACCAGTATTGTAACTTCAAAGATTTCATTTCCGACATTAGTATATGTAGCTTGCACAATAGTCAAATTATCGGTATTCCGAAGGTTCAAAATATCTGATGGATAAACACAGCAGTTTCAAACACAAACTTGTTTAAACGTCTATTCGAATTCCAACAGTAATAGAAACACTATTCCAAGTAACTACATAAATAGCAACTTCAACTTCGCTTCAAACATCGCTACTAACTTCGCTTCAAACATCGCTACTGACTTCGCTATTAACCTTGATAAAAAACTTCGTTATTCACTCGCTTATAAAAAGTTTTACAATCAATGACAATAAAGTAAAGATAACAAATAATTAAGATAATTAATTTAAATTAATTACAGAGCGCAATTCGATTACTCCAACGGTTATAAAAACATCAACCTTTTCCGACATACTGATAACCAGAGTATATCAATATGATTTATCAATTGCGAGCGATACAAGTCAGAAGGGAGTGTACTTCAAATTGACCCTTCTGCACGTTTATCTTTAATATTTGTATTAATCCGCTTATGAAAATATTAGATAGTTAAGAACATAAACAATGCGTCTATTTATGGGGTTCAACCGGTCAATTCGGAATCAGCACAAAATACGAACGCAGACATAAACATATTAATTTGAATCAAGCCTGCTGCAACTATGAATATATATAATTGTTGTTCGTTTGGAATGAGGTAAAAAATGGAGAATTTTTGCCTCGATATACCAGTCCCTGATGTGAAAACTGATCAATCCTTGACATATAGACAAAATTTATGACGCTGAATGCAAGGATTCTGGAGAAAAAAACGAAAAAACAGTCTAAAGTCGTTCAAATGTTGACAACAACTTAAAAATTGAAATTAGACCTCCAGCAGTAATAGCAAATTTTAAAAAGATTCATGCCATCACAAATAAACTTTGAAATCCGCAGTTACGATTTGTTTAGATGGAGCATAATACTCTATGCTCTCTCTGCGGTGTTCGACAAACAAACGTGATTTCAAATTGCAGTTTCCAAGATACACCAAAAGACAAAAAACATGATATTTAATGTTTGAAATAAGATATGATATGAAAAAAAAGATATGACATTTCAATCGGTTGGTGATCACACAAGCCGGTTGAAATTATACAGATTTAGAATCACCCAGCATAACAACTATTCAACTCTACCTACTCAACCTGACATTGCTATCTTTCATTGACACAACATAGTGGTTCTTTAGTTGAATGTGTGCCATGAAACCAAACTATAATCGACAATACTCTGACAATTTGTTAATTTGGTTAAACTATAAAATCCGCTCAATTATTTTAAATATCACCGATTGATTTTTATAATAAATTTAATCTACTCTTGTTACAATTTTATGGCAAATTTCTTCTAATAGTAAATTTATAATCACTATTATAAGGTAATCATATGGTATCTATTGTGACAGAAACAAATTATAAATTGCACTTCTATTTTCTCCGCAATGAGCAAAGTGGTCTATTCTTTTTGTTTTTCCACTACTTTATTATAGAATAATTACATTATTACCATTATCATTTCAATTAATTTCAAATTTGACCAATTTTTCCTTTTTTTGAGAAAATAAAAAATGGTTCTATTATTATAATTGTTGCTGTTATTACTATTATTATTATAAATATTATTGTTGTTGTTATTGTTATCATGAAAAAAGTTTATGAATTGCTAATATTAAGAAATATTTTAAAAAAGCACTTACAAAATAAAATAAAGGCACAAAATGATAACTGATATTTTGCTTGGGCCACAAGACTTGCCTGGAATGCCTCAATATAATTGGAATGCCTCAATTTAAAAGTGTTTAAAAAAATTTTATTTAAAATTATTTATAAAATCACTAGGAGGAATAAACCGTTAATTTAATTGTAGGTAGTTGAATAAACTGTGATATAATGATATATTTTGTGTAGCTGTTGCTGGTTCGCTCAGGTACTGTCGCACGATCGCCAATAATTCACAACGCAACTCCATAATCCAACAACTTCATCCTCTACTTCTAAAACTCGTGTTTATATAAAGCAATTACAAAGATAATCTGATTGTAACAAACAAACAAAAAATTTTAAAGTTATTGCAGCGGTTATAACAATATATTTACGTAGCAGAAACAAATTTGAAGAAAAAAACAAAAAATACACCCAAATGAGCGATAGCGTCTTTGAAAAGTTTAACTCGCTGCTTTATTTACACTTTTGAAACATGGTAAATTTAAGTTGACACAACTGGTGAAAAAGTCTTTATCCTCAAGTTAATTTTCTGCACCAGACCATTAGAATCAGATAACCATCTATAAACAAAAATTAAAAAACTTACAACTTCGACAGATATCCTATCTCTGTGACATGTTCGAACATGATCAGCCAACAATTGACTATTGAATCCCATTTTAGAACAATGAGGACAAGAAAATGATTGTATGACTAAAGATGACGAGGGTTCACCACTGTATAAAATTCCTGCAAGGAAAAAATCATTTATGCACAATACAAACCAAGTTTACTTTGCAATTATTTAATTTTTAAAAACTTAATTTAGTTTAAATATAATTATTATTTAAATTAACGCAGAAACTAGTATAATAAACATTTTAAAAACAATTTTGCAAATATTGTTAGAAATGTTAGACCACATGTACTTCAAAATCGAAAAGGGTGAACATTTATTCTCACACCAGGATATTCAACTTAGGATTGACCTAAGTTTTTATTTCTTTCAACTTATTCCTTTTTTTGTAGATATCTAGATAATATTATTTTTCCACTAATAGCTGATTCCGCTATTACTTTCCTTTTTTGATCAAAGATTTATTTTACCTTGTTTTTATGGATTTACAATTTTACATGTACGTGGTCCTTTTTATTTTTGATCAAAGGTTTGGACGGGAAAAAGAACATTTTTGATGAAGCCCCCTCAAAATCAATCCTACACCATTTAGAGTTTTATCGAAACATGAACTGAAATTCGGATAAAACCTAAACTTTCAAAAGTATGCGATTTGGCCATGTCTTTTTATTTAGCAATTCTGATTGAATTTCTTTTAGCCTTCTTTAAAATGTTTCATTGAAAAAATATAACGATAAGAATTAGGTAACTAGATCTTTCGCCCAAACAATGGAAGATTCGCCGGATTACATATTTGTCCGAAAATAAAAAATAGTCTTTTGGATAATCAAAAATAATACTCTAATTTTTTTTCGTAAAGATAGCATTTCAAAGTTGATCTTGTTAGAGTTGATCATGTTTGGTTATGACCACACAAAATATCCATTCACTTTTTCAATTGAGGCAAAAGCCTTTATTTGTAGTTTTTATGTAGACTGCAGTTTCTAGACTATGTTCTTTGCTGGTGACAATGACATCAAGAAAAAGTAGAGATTTATCATTCTCATGCTTAATGGTGAAGTTTACTTTGATTTGTTGACAACAGTGAGTTGCGCCTTAACCGGAATTTGACTAATAATTGGACAAAGAAGATAACTGGTGTTTTTGGTTTTAATGTTATCATGAGGCATCCAGGGAAATATTCCAACGAGTAAATTGATTTCGACGTTAAGAATGACGTTTAATGATTTTTCGAACCAGCCCGTTCTAGATTCGAAAAATCGCTAAGAATTCAGTTTGTCAAGATATTCACTCTCGTCATGTAGCACAAATTGAGAGGATTTGTCTACATTATTATTCTCTTTTAATTGACTTTTATTCTTTTTTAATTTAATTTTAGCCGCAGCTTTCAATTCATCAGTCATTAACTTGCTAAGAAATTTGCTTTGCCGCTTTTTAGCTTCAGTCTGCAGTACAATTGTTAATGAGGGGTTATCTGTCCTTTACGTTCAGAACCTAATATTTAAAAACAGTACATTCGTCAACGCGCCTTCATCCATTCCTTATTAACCGAAAAACGTAATGCGGAATTGAGGAGACAATGAACAAGACACAGAATGATTGATTGAGAATATAATTAAAAATGAATTACAACTTTACAATAATGCAATAATAATTTAATAATAATCGCATCATTTTCTATTATAGGAATCATGTGAACACCAACTACAAAACGGACGAATCCGTTTTAAAACAAATCAGTCATAATAATGTCAAACTGACAAACCGTTCCGACAAAATAAAACTACAATTTATTATAAGAAAACAGATACATTAAACCTTATCATGAACAACGACCAAACTCATCAACATGATTCGGCTTTTTATCATGATTCACTCCAGACAAGAATGACAATTATAAAATAATAGATTCTTAGCTTCAGTCTGCATCACGTTATTCTCAAATATAAGAATGACAATAATAAAAACAGCACCTATTGTACCGACAAAGACCAAAAAATCAACATAGACAAAAGTGCACCAACCAAAGAGCAAGTAAATGATATCAAAGCAATAAAACACAACACCGAAACAAAAAAAGGCAATCAGTTTGAACAAAGATTAAGAAGATAGTAAAATTAACAGTCACTAACATCAATAAATGCAAATAACAGGAACAAAGACCTTGGTTATACAAATTCCCTATATAAACTGCAACAAGTGCTGAAAATGATTGAAAAATCAAAATAGGTCACTATCGAGAATGAATTGAAAAAACTGTATATTATTCAAACTTTAATAAAATAAACAATGACAACAAGAATCTGGTTAGAAATATTGAAAAATGTAAAAAACTATCCAACGCTAGAAATTCTGAAGATTTCCTAAATTACTGCACATATATAGTAATTGGGGTTAATGTGCATATATGTTGGATATATATGGATATATATATATATGGTTATATATATATATATATATATATATATATATGTGTGTGTGTGTGTGTGTGTGTGCGTGTGTGACTTGGATCGACTTGAATCCACAAGTATGTGAGTATATAAGGGAGTTAGAATTTCCAACCCAGTACGGTTGGCCAGTACGAGTAAACAAAACACCCACCACGACCAAAGTGGACTCAAATTGAAAAATTTTGAATTTAGTGATTTACATTTTTTCAGGTGATACAAAGTATGTACTTATTTTGGATATTCAAAATCGACAAACGTTGGGTTATATGGTAAAAATAAAAATGTTTCTAAACGGATTTATTTAGGTTTTAAGCAAGAACCCAAGTCTGAATGTATTTACGTTTATACATTGAATACGTTTAAATATTGAACATTTATTTGTTCGCATGTATATTATTAAACACTGAACGATGAATGTATCGTTATAACCGTCCCGGTCGACGACGAGTTTGTTTAATCCTCAATGGAAAATAGCGACACGAAATAACTTTCCAGTTATCGATTAATTTATTTACAAAACAATAAATAATTAATCAATTGTCAACGTTAATTAATTTTACTAATAAAAGTTAACATTCAGAAACTATCAAATTAACGTTCAGAAACTATTGCTTTCCGAAAAAAAATCACTTACTTTTATCGCAAGTACAAAAAAATACAACACAAATACCTCTACCTACATTAACAATCAATCGCTTTCCAATATCAAATATTCAACCAGCCATTTAATATCTCGCATGCCGTTATATACCCGTTTACCGACGCCCCTAAAACTGAATGTGTTCGTGGCAACACCAGCGCCTCTAGCGAATATATTTGTGACGGTTATTGACACTGCCCCCCTTTCACTTCTATTCATCCCGAAAAGAGTTCGTTGCAACGTCTGCATAAAATAGAGCCAGTCTCTCCAAATGGACAATTTTTAATTTTTACCCGCGGCTTCTGATGCTCTTGAAGTTGTTAGACAATGTCGTTCAATCGAGTTATGATCTGATAAGATCCTTTTTAATCTTGTTGAAACTTTGGAGACCGTGCTTTTTTTCGATGATTATATTGCCATACCATATCGTTGGCGCTAAATCCAACAGTGTTTCCCTTTTTTATCGTATCGGGTCTCACTATTCTTGTTTCAACTTCAAGCGCGTGTATTGGTGGATGCTGTTTAACCACTGACTAAATAGGACTCAATTATGACATGTGAAACTAGAAGTGGCGCACAACAGTTACAGACCTGTATATTGAATTTTAATTTCATAGTTCTGGAATGCAGTTCTTGGGAAAATCGATCGGGTACAGAAGCGCCTACAAGATCCCACAATGAATTTCAAGGGACGAATCGTCTTTAGCGCGAGCGACTTTTATTGGAGATGGCGAAATGTCCGACCATAAAATTAAGGAGCCTTTTTTGAATCCAATTTTATTGTGCTTAAATTCGAACGTTTAAATTTATGTCACCCTTCTTACCAATCTTATTTTACTTTCCATCCAAACTTTTCTCTTTCATTAAAAAACATTAAACTATTTTTTTTTATCCCATCTGATCTGTCTGATTATGTATGCAATTTAAATTCATAAAAAAATAAACTTGAAATATGGAAAATTAAATAGATTGAAATGTTACAAAAAAATTTAATATTACAAATTTTTGTTCATTTTGAAAATTTCACATATTTAAATAACTGACAAGAAACAGAAATATTGTAGACAAACCCATGTCAGCTCTTGTGGGTATACACTGCATGGAGTGTGATGACTTGTGTCGTGATGAAACAGCCTTCATGTCATGACATGACTGGCACAAATCATAATCAAAACATATCAGGCACTTGTATCTTAAACCACTGAAGCTTGATTTCATACAACAATCACATGTTACCCCTGTAAACGAAAGGTAGACATTGAAAAAATGAATATCTCGATAGTTTTGTTATATCCGCTACGATATCGGCGCGATGATGTAATGGTTAAGGTGCACTTTATTATTAATTTCAATTATGTTCAAAGTTATAAATATTGAGTTGTTGATGTTCAATTTGTTTTTACTTAATACTTAATTATTTAATATCTGAATTTAATATCTGAATGTCGTCCGCATACATTCGACAAAAACGTACAAAATATCTACAATTCATTGGCACAACTACTGTTGACATTTGAATAAACGTTTACACAAGTGAAGCAGTTGTGTTTATCTATCAAAAATCAGTGAATCTACGTAGGATCAAATAACTTGACGATAGTGCAAGTTACAATAGTATGTATGATTAAACAAAATGAAATTCTAAAAAATTTGTATTGCCAGAAATCAGAAATAATTAACAACAAATAAAAAAACACGAAATAACAACACCAAAATTTTACTATATTTAAATTATTTTAATAAAATAAATAAATTTTGAAATGAAATTTAATTGCTCATCCATAATAATACAGAATCCAGAGTCAATGAAAGTAAAACAAAATGTACATAATAGATTCTGTAGGCAAAAATATCATGTAAAACAAAATTCCAACAAAGTTAGATGTAATTAAACCAAATATATAACAAATAAATTAAAAATAAAGTAAAATATGTATATATACATATTTTACATCCATAAATATTTCGCTTCCGGACATTTTAGAAGCGAAATGGCGAAGTAAAGGCGAACAAATTCGGTAACTCCACCGAATAGCAAATCAGGCCAAAAGACTAAAAAAGGATATAGTTGGTGCCACATGCATAAAGAATGATAAAGGCACCATAATAACCTTGCAGAATGAAGTGAAGGATTACTGGAAAGATTACTTTGATCAGTTATTGAATGAAACAAACCCTATTGGGGTGGACTTTGATGCACTTCTGAAAAGTTTACGGATGCGTTGAAGGCAATGAAGTTGGGAAAAGCGACTGGTCCGTCTGGACACACAAATGATATCATCAAGGCATCTGGTGGGCAAGCTTCAGAGCCCTCTTACACATCTGTCGGGAGATGTGGAGTAAATCGATACTACTAGTGGAATGGAACAGTATATAAAGGAAAAGGAGATCCACTGAAATGCTCCTCATATCCGGGTATACGTCTTCTGGATAATCCCCTGAAAGTTATTGAAAAAGTCATTGAGAGAAGACTGTTGTCGTGCGTTTCAATAGGTGGTACGGCTTCATGGCAGTGAGATCCACTATTGATGCTATCTATATCATTCGTCAACTACAAGAAAAACACATGGCAAAGCAAAAGCGACTGTTCCATGTTTTTGTGGACTTGGAAAAGGCTTTTGAAACAATCAGGTGGAATCTACGTAGACAGCTTGTTCCCGAATATCTGTTTCGGTTGGTTATGGCAACGTACACTCTAACACAAAAACTCGGGTCAGCACAGCAGCCGGTAACACAAATGAATTTAATATTAACGTTGGCGTCCATCAGAGATCAATACTCAGCCCCCTGCTCTTCATCACGGTGATGAAGAAAATAAGCAAACAAATACGCTCAGGTTAAAATATGGAACGTGATATATTCAGATGATATCGTCCTGACGGCGGCCTCGGAACAAGACGCAGCCAGAAAGTTTGAGGTCTGGAATACCCAGCTTGCTGAACACGGGCTAAAGGTAAACCTTGACAAAAGAAAAACTATGATCACCGGTGGTACTGCTGAGCCTGTGGTCTCTGGTCATTGGCCATGTCCAGTGTGTGGGGCTGGAGTTGGAAGCAACTCGATCAAATGCCTACGATGTCATTTTTCAGTTGTGTCACAGACGATGCTCGAGAATTACCGCCTCACTAAGGTAAGTGACTGATTTCGTATACCCCGCCTGCATAAACCAGCGACAACGGAGCCCAGATTACCGAGATCGAAACTGTTACTTCATTTCAGTATTCGGGAGATATGCTGGATTGTACTGGTACAGCTGATGCCGCCGTTCGTAAACGCATACGTGCAGCGTTGGGCAGATGACACCTTCTGGCCTCGGTACCGCTGCGGTCAGAACTATACAGCACAGCTATACGTTCTGTTCTAATGTATGGTGCAGAGACGTGGCCGATGACAACAAAACTCGAACAGCAGCTTCACTGAACTGACATGAAGATGATTCGTTGGATGCAGCATGTTGACCGAAGGAACCATATCTATACAACCGAGATCCTAAACCGATCGGGACAGTGCACGTTGAAGGAAACATGTCGTCGTCATTGCCTACGATGGTTTGGCCATGCAAAGCGAAGCGTAAACAATACAATTTCCATTACTAAGCACCCGCCCAAGAAGTCGCCCAAAAAAGTCCTGGACGCAGACCATACAGGAGGACTTGAAGGCACTCGGTCTCAAGGAGACAGACGCAATGGATAGATCGGCTTGGAGACAGAAACTGATGAATGGAATAAAAAAAACTTCGACCATTAACGAATGGAGACTATAAACGAGGATCCAAGAGTATATTCGTTCTCGTTGAATGGTTGGAAAATTTCTGCTCTTAATAATTCTCGCTTAAAATAATTAAATTTAGTGTTAATTTGACTGTAAATAGGTTTATTTATTATATAAAAATCCAGAGTTTAAATTGCTATATAAATTTTTTTCTAATTTTGTTGACTTTTTTTTATTAAATCACGTGATTCTGTTGCATACAAACTATACTGTTAATTTAGTTGTGCTATAATTGTATTAGGACTAAACATGTCTCGACAATGCTTTAAGTGTACAGAAGCTGTTACTGCTAAAGTAAAAGATATGCCTTGTTTACGTTGTGAAGCGGTTGCTCACTAAAAATGTATTAATGCTAACGATAATCTTCTAGATGTTTTGAAAAATGTCGTTGGCTTAAACTGGTTCTGTGAAGGTTGCTCAATGTTACTATTTGATATTGATTCACTCACAAAGACAGTCGCTACCAGTAAACAGGAGTTTTTAACTAAGCTTGACACTGACAGAAATGAAATGCTATTAAGGTTGCATAAATTAGATCAGGCAAAGTTCAGATTATAACGGAAAGAGAAAATATAAAGACGTTGATAAAGTTAAACGAAAATAAATTGGCTGATACTGATCTTTCAGACCTGTCAATTCGTCTTGAACTTCATCATTTTAAAATGAATTAAGTACAACATTTGCTGGTATTGTTAACAAGGAGGTAAATAGAAATGTTAAAATGATAAATGATGAAATGAAAACAATGAAAAAAGTATTAACCGATTTTAATGAGTAGAAAGATAAAAAGTTGAATTTGATGTTTCATTTGACGGAGGGTGGTAGAGACCATGCTGATGTGATGAAAATATTGAAACATTTGACAGAGGATATTGCCGACAAGGATGTTCTTAAAATAACAAGACTCAGTAAAAAAGATAATAGTACGATAAGACCAGTGTTAATAAAATTAGAAAATGCAAGTGTTAAAAATTCAATAAGGAAAAATGTTTATAACCCTGATGAGTTATCCCGTGTAGGACTGAGTCACGGTTTGACAAAAGAACAAAGGCAGGAGAAGAAACGCTGGTGGCTAAGGCTAAAACAAAAAAGTCAACGGATAAACGGGGTTTTTTGTACAAAGTGAAGGGACCGGTCGGGAAATGAAAAATAATTGAGTTTCAGAAAAAAATCACTTAATAATTTCGGTAAAAATTAATTCAATAAAGTTAAAATAAATAAAATAACAACGAATATGAACAATGTTTTGCTTGGTTTTTTTAAACTTAAAATCAATTGTCTCGAAGGCTGATGTTGTATATGAATTAATTCATGAAGGCTTAGACATTTTTGTGCTGGGTAGAGACATGGCATGGTCATCAGATATTTCTGTAAAATCGTTATGTCGATTTTCTTAGATTAAATAATCAATTTTATGGAGAAATAATTGTTATATTCAGATCAAATTTCAGATATAAAGTAATTGAATTACCTGTTTTGGTTACGTTTGAGGATTAAATTTTTTATAAATAACAAAGATTTTATTTTATTAGCGTTATACCGACCGGGCTCTGCTCAAGTGCTCAAATGCCTTGTTTTTTTATGAAATTTTTCGTGTTCTAGAGATCATTACAGTTTTAAGTTCAAATATTTTGTTGACTGGCGATTTCAACGTTCACGTCGAAAAATTGAATGATCGTCATGCCGTCAGTATGCTAGAAATTTTTGAACAGTTCCACTTGATAAAACCTCATGAACAAGTCGACGCATGTCTGTGGTGGTACTTTGTGTTTAGTTGCTAGTTCAATCAATTTTCATGTTTCAAATAGTTAAATATTTCCTAGCGGCGTTTATTCATATCATAGTTTAATCCATATCAATATATCAATGGTCCGAGAGTGTCATCAGAAATTAATTATTTATTAATTATTTATTAATTATTAATTATTTATTAATTTATTAATCTTCTCAACATTAATAAACCATCCAAATTTATTGCCTCTCTGGATGTTGAATCCTTATTCACAAATGTACCAATTCACGATACAATTGACATAATTATCAACATTATTGAGCATACCAAAAGCACAAATGAAGTCCCTTCTTTAAATTTGCACTACCGAACCACCATTCCACAGTCCCACAAGCAAACTTTACAAGCAAATCGACGGAGTCGCTATGGGATCCCCCTCGGAGTCCTATTTGCCAGTTTTTACATAAGACATATATCTGGAGAATGAGACCTTCAAAAATAATGCAAATTTAAAACCAAATATCTACGCTAGATTCGTTTGTCTCCTATAACGATCCTGAACAAATCACCCAACTTCTTGGTACCTTAAACAAATCAAAATTAAGATTTACCATTGAAAATGAAAAGGAACAACGTTTACCTTTTCTAGATGTGTCGGTCATCCGTGGCGAAGAACGATTCAAAACTGTAGTCTATGTCAAAGAAACAAATACAGGAATTTGTTTGAATGGACAAAATGAATGTACCGAACAATTTAAAGACAGCACAATAAAATCATTTATAAACCGGCATTCACACACTCTACGGATATTGAAAATCGCGACGCTGAATTAAAAAGTCACCAACCTGCTTGTAAACAATAATAGACTTATGTCTATTATTACTACACAACAATAACTTTCCTAATACCAACAATCAAGATAACGACATCATTTTGTATTACAGAAATCACATGTCAACTGCGTAAAAAGTAGATGAAGCTATTCTTACACATATCATCCATAAAAATGTCACACCAACCAACCCAATTAGTAAAGTTAAACTCCGAATTTATTACAACAATAAAAAAACGTCTCACCTAATACTGAAAAATAATTGTAGTCCTAGAGTGTTAAAGCGTAATTACGGTGTTAAAGCGTAATCACGTAATAAATGAATTTAATTGCCCCTTTGACGGCTGTGTGCGTCAACTTGACTCATATATCGGGATTACTACTACCTCACTAACTAGAAGGCTTACAGAGTGGTGCTATCCAATCTCATTTGGACTCAACACACGCAATCACTATAAGCCGTGAAATCCTCGACAGCAACAGCAAAGTAATATACCAGAACACCAACTACACGCATCTTAAAATTGCAGAAGCAGTCCTAATTGACATCAATAAACCAAAAATAAATATAAAACAAAAAATGACAACCTCACTCTCAACCCGGAGCTTAATCAACAATGAAAACAAAGAAGTAATAAAAACTAGCATTGTAAATATTGACAAAGAAGAATATGATGCTATCGATAAAAAAAAGAAACCAACGAAGATGGATCAGCCAATAAAGAAATGTGACACCTAATTTCCATCTAAATTCATTTTCAAGTCAATATTTCCCTTTATAAAACAATTAGCACTGATGATGATTCATTCGGAATTATTCGCAGCATAAATTCGGAAAATAAGTTTATTTTGAATTTTAATAAACTAAACGTTCTCCAAAAAACTTTAGTAAGAAAAATCGAAAAAACGAACTACAAACATATTAACGCCAAACATTCGGTAGAATTTATAGAATATTGTAAAAATTATGGTCTTTTACCAACATATATATATATATATATACCAACATATATATATATATATATATACCAACATATATATATATACCAACATATATATATATATATATATATATATATATATATATGCACTAACAATGACGGTATATATATATATATATATATATATATATATATATACATGCTAATAGAAGACCGAATTCTTGACAATATGTAATAAATTCCACCGATTTATTAGTGTTTATCAACTTAAATTAGAATTTTTCAATTTGTTTTAATATATTTTTATCAACAAAATTGAAACTTTATTTTTATTAACAAACATTTTATTAAAATTATTGCAGAGATCTATTTCGACGTTAAACCGTCATTGTTAGTGCATTATTTATTTATTGATTAGTATTATTATACTTTTAATATTATTCAAAATATATATAAATAAATTCAAAAAAGAAACATGAAATTCTAATGAAAAATTTTTGAACCATAGTTGTCAAAGCGGCAAAAACCGCGTCAAAATTGTGAGGCGTCAAATTAATTCAATTTATTGTTATTATTATTGCTTTTATTATTATTGTCGTTATTATCATTATTGTTGTTGTAGTTATTATTATTATTATTATTGATATTGATTATTGTATCGGGTAAACATGAGAATCGGTCGACTTAAATCTGCTCACTGTTTTTACCTACTTTAATTTGGTTTTATAAAATTAATAATATAAAAATTAGTTGTAAAGATGCGAAAAATTCTGTCGATTAAGCTAGTTTTAATAAAATTTACTTTTAAATATTTATTTAGTTTTATTTTGCTTTTATATATAATTTCAACAGTTAACGCTGGTAAATGCCCACATTGTTTTGAAAAGTTTGTAAATGTAGGTAGACACTCCTGGAGGTGCACTAAAACAGAATAATAATGACAATTTTAATATACGCAGCTCACCGAAAAATAATATTGATATCGCCTAACATTTTTAATAGTTCTAAAAGTAACGATATTTTAACTAATAGAGATAATAATTTAATTCCATGTTGTTGTGGTAAGAGTTGCAAGGGTCGGAAGGGCTTGAAATTACACCAACGTTCCTGCGAAATGTTTAAAAACCTTAAAAATGCACTAGAAATCCCAGAGGAATCTGACAAAAATTTGGAATTGTCGCCGCCGCCACAACGCGAACAAGCATCCCTTGAAAGGTTGGACAGAACATCATGGAAACTCATTGGAATAAAATTACCTAAGATCCTAAAACAATGGACGGAAGCAAATACATACTTCCGACTCCGCAGAGCGTCCTTACCAAATGTATTCGACATCATCAATTTCACCACCTTATTCCAATCACTGATTTACAATTATGTTGCATCCAACTACGGCACCGTAAAGCCACAAGATTTATCGACAACACAACACCTTAATAAAACAGTCAAAAACATGAAGGACCTAAAACAGTTAAAATTACTTGGCCGCAACGACCACAGTTTCGACATGAAAATCAGCACATTAAGCAAACAAATAAGAACAAAACTGTTATCAATGAAAAATGCAAAACACTGAAAAACATGTCGACATAACAAAACAACTGAAAGTCAAATTCTGGTCAACATGCAAAAAAATTGTTTAACCCATCAAACAGCTTAACCCCATCATTCAGCATTGACGACAGCAAGAAATATTTTTACAACATACTCCATGACCCATTTCATAACAAGTTTCGCCTTCCGAACTGGCTTCCAACATTGCAACAACCAACAATTCTATGCAACATCGACCCCCAAACATACAACGAAATAGCAACAGTCATTAGAAAATGCAAACTTAAAGCATCCCCTTGACCACTTGATCAAATCTCAATAATTGTCCTTCACCGATTAATAGTCGAATGCTGGAGGTCTGCTACGATTCCATCCTGTTGGAGAAAGGGCTTCACCATTTTGATCTATAAAAAAGGTGACCCCATGACCCAGCTAACTTTAGACCGATAACGCTACAAGATCTTCTTTACATGCATCAACAACAGAATACACAAATATCTGGAAAACAACAGCTTCATCAACACCGCAATACAAAAAGGCTTCTATCCAAAATTGGACGGAGTGACGGAACACACTTATCTACTTACCCACCTGATGAAAGATGCAAAGAAACATCAGCGAACGATCATCGTCACCCTTCTAGATTTTAGAAATGCATTTGGTGAGGTTAGTCACGATCTCATCTCATCTGTTCTAAAATACCATCATATCCCGGACCAGGTATGCAACTTAATTGATTCTATTTATGCTGACTATTCAACAACAGTATCAGTACGCGAGCAGTTAACTCCACCAATCCCTGTGAAACATGGAGTGCTGCAGGGTGACCCCAGTTGTTCACCTCTTCTTTTTAACCTCTGTTTCAACCCTCTAATGAAAATGTTAGAGAGAAAAGAATACCTATGGGGCCCTGCGGCTAATCTAAAATCCAGAGCTTGGCTGCAATTTGCTGACGATACAGCTATCATAACAAACAGCTCTGATGGTGCTCAGACTCTAATAAATCTCAACCAAACCTGGTGCAAATGGTCTGGCATGAAAATAAGAGTTGACAATTGTTGCACATTCGGGATGCGATGGCGCATATGAGCAATTTCTGCCGAAGCTAACAATAGACGACTAAACAATACCTCAGATAGGCGTCGATGACAAGTTTGAGTATCTGGGTAAATCATGAATTCGAGTGCAAAAACGTCAAGGATAAAGAGATACTCCAAAAGAAACTAACAGATATGCTGCAAGTAATCAGCGACTTAAATACAACAGCTCAATGAAAACTTCAAATCCTACGTCGCTTCATTCCATCTCAACTATCATTTCAATTGCGATTGTATGATATTTCGCTAACAGAGATCACCCTTTGGGCTAATGCAACAAAATCCCTGCCAGATGTTTTATACAAATTCACAAGAAAATTTCTCATTCAACAACTACCAACCAACGCTAACCTAGTCAAATGGAAAAAAACGAACAACGCAGCATGCTCTCTCTGTAACGCCAAGGAAACAAATAAGCATGTAGTATCAAACTATGGTTCGCCATCTGCACAGATACTTAAATCGCCACAATAAAATACTTGCCATCATCTTAAACAACATCAAATCATACATCGAGCCTGGAGCAACCATTTTTGTGGATATCAAAGAAGAATCGATCTGCCCTGTGTCGCAACTGTTTACCTCACCTCACTTAGACCAGACATAGAAATCTTGTACAAAAAACGATTGAAATACCAATTACACCAAATCAAGAAACTACAAAGTGGATAAGTACAAGAACAGCCTCAAAAATAACCTATCGAATGATTTTAAACATTGCAATACTTTAATCAACACTTGAAATTTCGCCAATAGGACTTTAAAATTCTTTCAAATTATCTCAAACTAAAATAAACTGGCTTGACGTATTTAAATCTGGCTTAATCAATTCTGCGATAGAGTCTATTTACGCAATATATATTGTGACAGAAATAAAGCTTGACTAGTTTTTATATATTTCATCACCTTTGTACACATTCATAATGACGAACATTGATGTTAAGTTATCCATTATTTTAATCTTTTAACTATTATAATATATAATCATTTTATATTTAATTGTAATTTTCATTTATATTTTGTCTTTTGAAGAAATAAAAGAGTTCTCATTATTATTATATAATTTCTCTTTTCATAAACGGACTGTTTTAATTTATTTTTATTCGAAGTATGAGTAGTCCAACTAATTTTCATAATTCTTCTCAAAAATCACATCTCAGAACCTTATGTTAGCACAGGAAAAATGTAACAGTTTTAATTTTGTTGATATTTTGATTTTACTGTTGGTGTGGATGTTTTTCATTTTAGCTATCCTTCTTTTGATATCCATATCATATTTACAACATGAGGTAATCTGAATACCGAGATAATTGAAGCTGTTTCACCTGTTTACTGTTAACGATTATGAAGCAGATCGGGGAAGCTTTGTTTTTACTGATAACCATGCACTCTGTTTCGTTGATGTTAATATGCAAGCCTTTCCTTTCACTCTCAAGAACCAGTTTGGAAACACCTGTTTGCAGTTTTTCCACTTAATTTGCTATAAGAGCTGTATCATCAAATGTAAATGTGCAATGCATGCACAATTAAACACATACCCAGTTACCCCGAGGTATGACGTTGTTTTCTTTGCCATTAACTTTTTGCGCCAAATTAGACGATCAGTTGTATCCATTTCATTTAAATTTAGAGCTTTCATGTCTTGCTCGATTGTTTGCGACCAGGACATCTTTGGACGGCCTTTGGGATGTGTGCCAGGTACTTCAACATCTGCAAGAGAAGTTATGGCACTGTTTCTACTTCGTTTGACATGACCAAACCACCGCAGACGGTGTTGCTGGCATTCGTTTTTTTTAACATAAATATAATGTGTGTATTGTGATATACCACTTATGCAATATGAGTCAATACAGAATCTATTCAATTTTAACTTAAAAAATATGAGAAACTAAAAAAATAAGTTTAGTTTGGGCCAGTTAGCCACACCTCATTCCACATACCCATTTTAATTATTGATATTGATAGATTAGTGAGTTTGATTAAAATAAGATTAACAATGAAAACTGTAGCAAAAAAATGCAAATGTGGATAATTTTCTATTTTTTATCCTTCAAATAAGAAAAAATAATTTATTTTAAATTTTAAACTTCAATTCATTAGATATTAAATTAAAATTTAATTTAATTAATTTAACATTCAACAGTTTAACTTGTCTTAACTGTTAACACAAATTGATTAAAAAAGCTTAAATAGCTTTTTTAACTTTAATTTAAGCAAATTTTAATTTAAATTTTAAGCTTATTAAAATCTCAAAGTTAACTGTTGAATTTTTAAAATTTTATTTAATTTTAACTAATAGAATAAAAGAATACTAATTAAAAAATTAAATGCACACGAATACAATCAGTGGTTATTTTATTGTAATTAATTTTTTTATAAGAGAAGACAAAAAGAAAAAATGAATACAAACCTTCATGTAGAGACATATTCGTGAGAAATAATGTTCTGAAATGTTTGTTTAGAAAGCTTTTCAATATTTTTATAAAATAAACGGCCTCAAATTTGTTCCATATTATAAAGTATTTCGTATAATATAATGCTACATTCCAGCCCAAACAATCTGTTTAGTCTACCTTCAGTGTTTAGAAATAAATAAAACGACGAAATTCCAGCTAAAACAAAATTATCCAAAAACTCTAAAACAACAACAGAAACAGTAAAATAATGTTTTTGTATTGTAACTATTGTCATATTATTTATCTATAAATATAGATATATAGTTATATAATCAATCAATCAATCAATCAATCAATCAATCAATCAATCAATCAATCAATCAATCAATCAATCAATCAATCAATCAATCAATCAATCAATCAATCAATCAATCAATCAATCAATCAATCAATCAATCAATCAATCAATCAATCAATCAATCAATCAATCAATCAATCAATCAATCAATCAATCAATCAATCAATCAATCAATCAATCAATCAATCAATCAATCAATCAATCAATCAATCAATCAATCAATCAATCAATCAATCAATCAATCAATCAATCAAGCGTATATGAACATGTGTAGTGTGATAAGGATAAACAGCCTTTTTGGCGAAGATGGTTGCTTCAAATCAATGGATGAAGATATGAAGGACATTATGAAGATATATAGATAATATATATGTAAACCGTAGCCAGGATTATTTTTCGGGGGGGGGGGCTGTCGGAATACTTTTTTTTATAATTAAAATCAAGGAAAAAACAACAAATCCAATCAAATCAGCTTTTATTTACAAAATAAAAAAACCCAACAAAATTATTTAAACAAAAGTAAATTGTATTTAATTAATTTTTATAAATATATAAATCTAAGCAACGTGCTTTTTGGTTTACATGGTCCAAAATCATGTCGTTGTCCACTTGGATAGATATATCCCGATGAATAGATGGTAGTGCCAATGAAGTGAGTCGCTCTTCATTAGAGCTATTTCTCAAATAATTTTTAATTTTTTTCAGTGTTGAATAACTTATTTTAACTGTTGACGTTCATACTGTTAGAACTGCCATAATTGATACCAGTGCCTGAATATTTGGAAATAGCATTCTGTCAATGCCTCAATAGCTGTTCTTCGCCTATTTTTTATTCTCATTTTCCATTTTTGTGCCCACAATGACCATTCACCTTTTAATATGTTTTCAGAAGGTTATGGGAAGTCATCTTAACAAAATTCGAAACATTCTTCAATTTAATAAAACTAATTAAATGAGCGTTTAGTATTCATTTTGAACAAACAAGGAATCAACAAAGTAGAGTAGAGACACTGTATATTTGAGCATCTGGGCCATGGATATAATGGATATGGCATAAAAATTAATTTATTACAAAAATACGAAGTCGAATTTAAAAAAGCAAACGAGACTAAAACTTCGCAAGCGACAATTTCAGATCAGACGATTAATCATACACGCTGAAGAAGACAAC